GTTGTTAGGCTTCCTCGTGTTCTATTTGTCGAGGTGTTTTCTATGCAGACCGAGAGCGGTCAGACCAGTGAATATTGTGACTAGGGAATTCGGTCAGGTAGGTCATATTAGGCTTCTTGCTTAGGAACATTGGGTAAAATGACAGCGTTGTAAATAGTGATACTCGTGCACCTACTCACTTTATACGCTCATTTGGTTTATCCGTATTACGTATACCTATGTTGCTACCGCTCTAAGTGTTGTACTTTCATTAACTCCACCACTGGTAGACCAAAAGACAGTAACTATAACCGGTCCACCAACCTGCCAGATTATCAGTTGTGCATTCTAAACGGAACCGTCAAAATTCACCATTCTTCAGATCTCATCCATACGCCATTGTCATAAATTGACAGGTAGACCGTTTTTTCTAATCTCTCCTGAGAGCATGAATGTGAGTCGTTTAAAAAATTTAATGCATATCATTACGTGAGATTAATAATGGAAGGGGTAAAACTCCACAATCGCGAGGATTTATTGTTCACTCATGGGAACCGGCACTCCAATCCCTAGGGCCTGAACTGGCGAACCAACTAAGGGCCCCGTTAAGATAAGTGTAGTATGGAGCCCAACCACATCAAATTTACCTACCACCAAGTTTGGATGGTGATGGTAAGATACAAAACTCGGACATAGGGGTCCTAGGATGGCAGTAATGGCCACTGTTGTCCACTACTACTACTACTACTACTACCGCCACTACTCATGAGGAGGAATAGCCAGAAATAGGTTGTGTCCGAGTCACCAAAGATGATGTGACATAGCCACTCTAATGGGAGATCGGTCGGTGGTGGCCCAGTGGTAATGTCACCAAATGATCACCCCGAACCCCACAACCACCACCTGACTTCCCCATTTTGTGTGTTGTATGGCAACCCTTTGATTGGCTGCCTCCCCCTTCCTGGAAATTCTATCATTATGTATTCAGTAAAAGGAAGTAAAAATGAGAAAACGGGATCGGTTATTCACACAAACTGTCTGCAGTCGGATCGTGCTAATAATTAAACGCTATCGCTGTGGAACAACAACGTTTCATCGTAAATTGCGACTTCCAAACACAGACGATCACAACGTCCGATCCACGCGGCAAGACTACATTGTGCAAGCATACCTTTTGCGTTCGGACATTCCGTCTAATTCTCCTTCTGAAACGGTTTCATTCCACGTCCTCACATCTGTTACAGGAATGTGCTTCAAACCAACCACTACGATCCTTTTTCGTCGGTATATCACCCAGTGCTCGGGAGCTGAGATTATCCCAACGAAAAAGTACATCCATCCAATGTATGATTAAACAATATGTAAAACATCTCGAATCGTTGAGATACTGGGCGCGTGTCTTGGCTACTGCGCGATAGAATAATTTTATTCCTAGTGTGTTTTATTGACCAGGAGGTAAAGTTTTATTGCGTTCACTGTCGTAATTATACACAAAGTTGATTTCTTCCCCCTACTTTTAGTTCTTTTCGTTTCGTGATTTCATGTTACATATGACTCACGTGGGTCAAAAATCTATCTGGCCTCATCGGCGTATATTTATTCTGTTTAGGGTTTTTCCTATGTGGCTCAAAGTGTTTGTGAGGACTTCGCACGAGACGCGGTTGCTGATACCAGCTCGACATCCAGGCGACGACATCATGGGTAAGTTTTTGTGAATTCATTCCCACACCGCTCGTTTACGAGGGTTAAGCAAAACGTTTCCGGATGCACAAAAAGTTTTATTTGTTACACAAAAATACGCATTACATTTTCTCGAAGTGTTCTCCATCAGCGTTCACGCACAGTTCCATGCGTTCAAACCATTTGGTGAAACAAGTCGACCATGCCGAAGCGGGTAACCATCGAACCAGTTCAATGAAGCTCCCCTTTGCAACTGTTGGTAGCTCGTATCGGACTCCACGCATCATGCGCTCCACATTCGGGAACATAAAGTGTCACACAGGTCTGGACTATTGGGTGGGTGACCAACCTCCTGAATGCGTTCTCTAGCCGGAAAATCGCCGACATCATGAGACCTGTGTGCAGGTGCGTTGCTATGGTGCAGCAATGCCCTTCGTGCTCGAGTCCTTGGACGCCACGCAACAGTTTTCAGCATTTTCTTCAGACTGTGGGTAGCGTACTATTCTCCGGTGACTACTTTGCTGTATGAGCAGTGCAGTAGCCAGATGACCGGCTTTGGCCATGAACACCTCCACCATTTGCTGTGCCACACTGTGCTCGCGTCGGAATTTCTGATGCGGCGCCCCACTAACTGGCGTCCAATGAGCCGATTGTTGCTTGGTCTTTGGATCGAAACTGTACATCCAGGTCTCATCGATTGTACGAGAGCTGAGTAACAAGGTTCTGTATACGTAGTATACGTACGAGGTGCAGATGACCGGACAAGGAAAACATGAAATGTGATCTCGTATTGTGAATATTGTTCACTGATTGCAACTCATTACCAAATATCCACAATCGAGTACAGCTCACAAGTCATACGAGGGTCGTTATACTCGAACTGTAATGATGGAACTCAGTCGAGGGCAGTGATTTCCTAATACTGTAAATGAGGATTTTGTGTTCTCGAATGTGGAGCGCATGATGCGTGGAGTCCGATACGAGCTACCAACAGTTGCAAAGGGGAGCTTCATTGAACTGGTTCGATGGTTACCCGCTTCGGCATGGTCGACTTGTTTCACCAAATGGTTTGAACGCATGGAACTGTGCGTGAACGCTGATGGAGAACACTTCGAGAAAATGTAATGCGTATTTTTGTGTAACAAATAAAACTTTTTGTGCATCCGGAAACGTTTTGCTCAGCCCTCGTATTCGCTGTTCTCGTGCGATGTTTTATCGGGATCAGCTTGATATCACCATACTGGTTATGTGATTCTGTCGATTCAAAGATGATCGCCTACTCTTCATAAGCTCATTCCGCCGAAGGTTTTTTTAATCTGGAAGAGTATTTCAGATCGTCTTCTTTGGTATCACAGTGGAGGGGCAGATACCTAAGGAGTTCACTTGACTTGTGTCTTCAGAATGGTTCTTTTAAGCCAATGGGAGGGGAAAGCGAGAGAGCTACATGGTTTGAGGCAACTAGTAGTTGGAAAAGGGTCAAGGGTGATCAAACGAAGACCTGACACGAGGGTTTAAGAACCCTAACCAGGTCAAATAGGTCAAATAGACCCCGTTAGACTCGTATTTGGTCTGAGTATATTATGACTTCGTCAAGCAAATGAGGTGTGAGCTGAAAAGCTAGGAACAACGGGGCAACTGTTTCGACCTGGTTAAGTCTCACCAGCAATGTTAATCCATCTACCTAACTGGGGATCAAACCCGGGACCTCAGGTAGAAAGCAAGCATACTGTCCACTTCGCCACCGGGCCGCTGATCAGGCCGCTTTCCATTTTGAATACACACCATGTAGCACGACCGATCTTTGTGAGCTTAATGCGGGCATCACACCTCGCGCATTTCAACTCTAGCTTTCGGTTGCTTTGTTTCTAATTCCATCTGCCCGTTAGACTTCTCATATTAATTCATTCAAATACTGAATTCCCCTTCCCGGCATTAGTCGTCCTCTTCTCACTGAGTCGCGACGGAATCGCGTTGAACCTTTTTTCACTTCCCTTGCGCGGTATGCACATACACATATCCATAAATAAATATCCAGCCAATTGGTAAAGCGATAGAGTAAAAACGAATAATAATTCTTCGGAAATCACTTACTCCATTTTCCCTATCACGGGAGTCGCTTTAGCTCAAGAGGACTAATGAAAGAAATACCAACACGTGTCCGCAATGTTCGGGTGGTTTTCGCCAACTTACGTCACTTGTCACCTAAACGGGATCTTACTCTATGCATTGAAAGGTCGAGCTTATATTGCTGCCGGACACGCGACAGTTGGTCTGTTTCTCATCGATCACGTACGAGACTAACTGTTTTCGACCATCATCTGCTTCGCTCTATCAACAAAATACGACAGCAATAGCGAATCACGAGGAGAGATTCGCCAGATAATCCTCATCTCAGACAGTTATAATTGTTACCAGAGTACCGCCATATTCTCTCCAAGGGGTTTGGATGGTCTGGCCACGTACTGTCCATGTTTGCACAAACCATCATAGACTGAAAGCGGAGACAAAGTGGACCTGGAATAATCTCAAAACTGGTAATTGTAGGTCGCTCCCGGTTTCCAGACACTTTTTTTCTGGGATGGCGAATTCCCGTGGCCTGTGATGGCAGTAAATGACTCAGATGTAGCACTAGGACCGTACCTTAGTCAAGCCATTCAAACGCGCAGTCAGGAGACAGCAACCAAAACCTGCACACGAAAGTGCATGGTTCATTGTTAGTAATAACTGAGCTAAATTAATATGCTTTAGCTGTTCACTTACAACCAAAATTTCCTCGCTTTGTTTTTGCATTTCTGTGAAGTTCCCGGTCACTGCTTACATGCTGGCCATCAGTATGACTAGTTGCATTTATAACCATCATTTCTCCCTTTTTGCCTTTCGTCAGTGATCGGGCCGCATTATCGGCCGGCCGGCTTCGTCGTCTGGGTGGTGTTCCTTGTCTATGGTCTTCGAAAACTGACACTCATCACCGGAATGGTCATTCAAACCATCCGGGTCCGATAGTTCACCGAACCGGTCTGGATCCAGTCACTGCAACCAATGGGATTTTGAACAAAATTCAGTTGCATGCACACGCTGTCTGCACGGGACATAAGACGGAGAATGGGTTTGTCCGTCCCTCGACCGGGACTCGTCTCGTCAAACCGGAACCACCTCTTCTACCTTCCGCCTCTCAGGCCACTCTGGTCGGGCGGAACTCGGATCAGGAAATGGATTCTGAAATTCCATGTAATATGGCGGGTCCCGGAGTAGACGGTATGGAAGCAGATCACATGTCGGTCAGGCATCACGAT